ATCTGGTTCCGAGCTCCAGACAGATTGTCTCGTTATGCATGAATCGACTAGCTCAGACAGTGGAAGAAAAGGCGAGTTTTATTCTAATAATATTGGAAGGGGTCGATCAAAATATTCCAACTAAGGTAGAACTTGTCACTATTGTAAAAGAAAGGTCATGTTAAATCGAAGTGTTATAAGTTGCAAATAAGATCAAAAGGGAAGCTGAATAGCAAAACTCTGGGAAATCTGGTGAGGTCAGTATAATAAAGGAATATGATGACGGAGAACTCCAAGTTGCGGTTGACGACAACTTAATAGCAAATGGTGAGTGGATACTTGACTTTGGTAGTAGTTTTCATATGAGTCCTAATCATGACTGGTTTGCGACGTATAAAGCTGTATCTACAGGTGATGTATTTTTGGGAAATAATGTCTCTTGTAAAGTCGCATGTATTGACACAATCAAAATTAAGATGTTTGATGGAATTGTTCGAACACTTGGTAATGTGAGACATGTTCAAGATTTGAGTAGAAATCTAATTTCGTTAGGTACTCTAGATTCAAAAGGGTACAAATTATCCAGTGAAGGTGGAGCTATGAAAATTTGTAAGGACTCTCTTGTTGTGTTGAAAGGGAAGAGAAAGACTACCAAGTTTTATGTTCTACAAGGTTCAACAATTTTAGATAATTTAGTTGGTGTTTTATCCAACATGTCAAACAACGTTGTTGAACAAAATAACCGTGCACAGAACGATTATGTGAACCAGAAAATCAAAGAGTTCAGTTTTGTGAACATAATGAATTTGAAGATAGAACTATCATTGATGATTGGGATCGTGTTGTGCATGATATTACTTGTGGTGAAACATTTGTGAGCAAAGTTGGCACTTATGATAATCATGTCGATGTGAATACTAAATCCAAGCCTAGAAAAAGTTTGGATTCGGTCGGTGTCCATTACTGAAGATTACCCTTTTGAGGGGTGTTGTGGAAGAGGTAGAGAACTTGTTCGTTGAAGTGAAGAATTGTTTTTGTTGAGTTTGGGTGTCACGTCGAATTTGGTTGTTTTGTCTCGAAACCTTTGCACTTCAGAATTCGTGTCAAGGTGGAGATTTGTTAGAGTTTGACTCGAATTCAAAGTGGTACAAATTATTAATCTATAAATATTGATAAAGTAGGAAACTCAGTTTGATTTAAAGTAGAAAACTTTATTAAATTAGATTTATATTTTATTTAGTTTTCCTTTATAATCAAATATCTATCCCTATAAATAGATACTAAAGGTCAAAGTTAGAAATCAAGTTTTTTCCCCACCAAAATTCTCTTGTATTTTCTTCATTCATATTAGTGAAATTCTTCTCTTCTGCCCATGGTTTTCCCTTTTGGGTTTTCCACATAAATCTTGGTGTTCTTTGTTTTTCTTTTTCGATTGTGTTTATTTGTTTGCCGATAATCATCGTTCCAATATTATAACATTAGTGTATATTGTTATCATAAATATGCCATAATTTAAGTGATCAATTATATCATAAAATCATAAGTTATTATAAGTGTCATGGAATAAAAGTGTATATATTATTAAAGTTGTATTTATAATTCTATGAGGGCAGAGTTATAAGTATAGACAATAACTGATTTAATCAGATATATAAAGGGTTATGGTTCCCAAGAAATAGATATCTCGTTATTACTTTTATATTGTCAGAGAGTTAATACAAAGGAAATTCTATCTTCTTGAAAGATCACAACCCTGGAATCACCTACTCCCTCTCCTATTCTACATAAACCACCAGATAGACTGTTGCGTAAAAACCATCAAAACCTGCTCTAATAATACAGTGAGAAGCTACACTTAGGGAAGGGTAGGGAGATGATGAACAAAAACAAGATATGTTTAGAGACATCGAAAAAATAATTGATATTTGTCGTAACCGTCTTTCGAGTGGGCCCCGGAATTGGGCTTTGACTTGGATTAAATGAATTGGAGTCGCCACCGACCACTTTAAAACGAATTTAGGTGGGCCGGACACCATCTTACCTGATCTGCGTCATACCAGAAACGTGTCGGGTTCGGGAGTCGGTTACGGTCAAGGAAGGATTAGCACCCTTGAACCGCCCTTTCGGTACCAATTAATTTGTCGGTTGTCTTTAATTGCGAAAATTAGAATTTAAATTAAAATTAAATTCATTCGATCCGAATTACTTACCATTTGATCGGCTGAAATCATGACTGAAACAAAATATGTTAGATAAAAAGCGAAAACAAAATGCTAATAAATAAAAAATAATAATAATAATGAAAGAAAGAAATAATAAAATAATAAAAGGTTAAATTTAAAAAAGTATTTAAAAAGTAAAATAAAAAATAAAGATAAAATTTAGGATCAAATTGGAACAAATTGAGCTTAATGAATTAGAAAATGAACTGCAAAAGAACAAATAAAAAGTTAGGGGACCAATTCACAGAATAAAAAAAATATAAATAGGGACCAAATTGATTAAATCATAAATATGGAGGCCAATTTACAGGTAGTGACCAAATTGAACTGCGACTCAAAATGATAGGGACTGCGGAAAGGATTTAAGAATCCTTTATTTGCACACTGGTCCCTCGTATATAAATGCCCAAACACACCTTTTCTCAGCTCATTTCCACCATTTCCTCACAGATTCTTCTCTCTCAAACGAGAGAAGGCTCTGAAGCCCTCTCCCTTGGCGATTCCGACCACCTACCGACGCTGTCCACAACCGCCGACGGCCGCCGCTCGCGGCGGCCGAAAAAAAACCAAAGCCCCTCAAAATACTCCTCTCCACCCCGTAAACCTAAATATGTGACTCAAAAACACAAAACATGCCCCTACCGGCGTAGATCTAGGCGTAAAGATTCGATTTTTACCCTTAAAACCCTTCGTATCCCGACGTTTTTCGTTCCTCACGGTGGTGCTTTTCCTCGCGCCAAGGGTTTCGATCCTTTCTTTGATATATTTTGCTTTGTATCTTGGATGTATTTGGTAGTTGTGGTTTGATGGGTTTTTGATGTCTTTTGGTTTCTGGTTTTTGTGACTCTGATGTACTGTTGGCTTCAGTTGATTTTCGTGGTTGGTTACTTTGACCTTGTTGATGGTCTCACTCTCGTTGTTTGTTTGTGGTTGTTTAATTCTCGACGATGCTCTCTGTGGGTTCTGTTTGGTTCCCGATAACCCCCCTGACGATGGTGTTCTGGTTGGTATTTATAGGCCTCCACCGGCCGTTGTGGTCCCGAAATAGGGGCGCTCGTGACCGGTCACCTCGGGATGGGTCAGTCCCGGGGATCTCGGCCGTCGTTGGCACTGTTGCCCGTCTGTTTCGCGTGGCCTTTGGTTGCCCGGGTCGTGCGGCGCCTTGGTTGAAACTGGATATGAAACCTAACATGCTGCTGGGCTGGTTCAAGCCCAGTCTTTGTTTTTGGACCCCGTTTGGACCCTGACAAAAAAAATAATAATAATAAATTAAATTAAATTAAGTTAATAAAATGAAATGAAATGAAATAAAATGAAATAAAATAAATATTAATAATAATATAGGTTATATAATATATATGTTTCAAAAAAATATTTTTTTAAATTATATACTATATATAAAAACATTTTCAAAACTATATATTATATAGTTTTCAAAAATGATTTTAAAAATATTATATAAGTTTTCCAAAATGTTTTGTTAAAACGATATATTATATAAATTTTCCCAAAATGTTTTTTTTAAAAAATATATATTATATTTTCAAAATGATTTCAAAACTATATATTACATAATTTCCAAAATGTTTTAAAACTTATATATTGTATATAAGTTTTCAAAAACGTTTTAAAAAAAACTATATAATACATATTTCAAAAATATTTTTTAAAACATTTTCAAAAATTATACTATATTACTATAATAAAAATAAATAAATAAAACGCCCAAATTCAGACGAAAATAAGTGTCTACAATATTACCTATTCTGTTTCTGAACTTCAAGAGAAAGCCAAGTTTAATGGACCTGCCAGACACCTTCGACCTTCAAGTTTTACAGTCGACATATATGAAGCCTCAAAATTCCAATCTTTTTGAACACATCGTTTCATTCCAGCAGCCAGTTTGAAAAGTTCTGCTTTCCAAAACACAGTGTCATTGGTCAAATTGGATTGGTTAAATAAGTGACCAAAAGCTTTGTTTCAAATACAGATCATTTGTAGTCTATTTATCCAATGTGTGTTTTGATTGAACCATTAAAATCTGCTTCACCTTTCACTCAGCTTTCTAAAATTACCACAGTAAAGCAGTAAGAATATCTGAAACATCATTAACTTCCATGGAAGCCACAGTGAATAAATATGATGGTCATTGGATTTTATATTCGTACTCACAATGGAAGATCAAAGAACCCAAAAAGGTCAACTTATTCCCCACCTATCATCAGAGTAGAACCATAACGATAATGAAACGAACTTCATAATTGTGGGTGCTGCGTTTTGAGCCTAAGTCACTAGGCCCCCAACCTAGAATTTTTACCACTAAACTTCAGCCATAAGACATATTCATGGGCTTTATGAAATATTTTTAAAACAACGTTTGTGTTGGAAACCTTTAGTCCTATAAAATATGACTGTCAAGCAAGCAGTAACATCTCAAGTTGTCAACCAGAGATCTTTTTTGAATAACAACCACAGATCTTCAGTAATGCATAATGGTGTATATATATTATCGTGGAAAAGCAAAATTTGAACATGATGATTAGTCTCAAGAGAAGAAAATCTACTCATTTACTGACAATCTATAGTTTTCAACACTTTTAGTGAAGGAAACACATGAATTGTTGCCTCCACTACTACCATATTATCTAGGATGTGGCGCACAAGTTATGAATGGTCCTATGCAAGGATAAAATAGATGGAAGTGGAAATGATTAATATATTGTTATTAGAGTATTCTATAGAAACAAATCGAAGTGACTTCTGATCATACAAGAACAACACAAAAGAAATACACAAGCGTAATGTAAGGAAACAAATGGCTAAAATCCTCCGACATAACCCGCGGTGATACAAGATTAATATTTAAAGGAACACAACCACACCAAAGCAAAAGACACAGTCCAAACTGTCTCTATTAGTGAACATTTTCAAGGGTTAGTTTTTGAAGGAGGTGGCGAGAAGAATGGGAAGGATGGGATGGTAGTTGGTATTGTGGGGATGGATGGCAATGTTGGCATGCTGGGAAGTGGAGGGATGGATGGCATGGTAGGCAATGTTGGCATGGTAGGAAGTGGAGATAGAGCTCCAGGCTTGGGTAACAATGGCTGCGTTGTCGGCAATGTTGGCAATGTCGGTTGTGGGAGAGTGGGGATAGATGGCAATGGTGGCAACGTTACTCCGGGCAAAGCTGGTGGCATCTGGAGGAGATGACGAGCTGCTAGCCCAACATTGATGTTCAACAATGACAGAGCCAAGAAAATGGCTAAAACAAAACAATTGGAAGAGGCCATTTCTGGAGATTTGGAACCCTGAGGAGTGCTATCTTAGAAAAAAGGAAGGTTGTTATTCTGTCTAATGGTTTGAGACTTTTGAATTGTTCGTGGGGGTATATATAGGGTGGAAGCAGGGAAAGTGGTCTCTTAGGTTGTTGATTACTGATGAAATATGGTTGGAAAAGAAAGCACAAAGTGGTTCCAAATGTTTTGGTAGTTCATCTTCTCATTAAAACAAATTTTCAAATGTAGTTGTGGTTGGCAGAAGCTACCTGAAAGCACTGAAGTTAGCATACAATGGTCAACGTGTCCAACGGTATCTTTTAGCAGCAATTACTCCACATCTGAAGTTAACATAGGTATACCCTAAGGCCTAAAGTCATTGCACCCCAAATCCAACATCTCCAACCCTTCATATTTAACAAAACTCTAAACCACATTGTTTTCAGCACTTCATGCGCAATTGCATTCTTGTATAAAATATATACAAGAAACCTTACCCTTAACTTCCATACCTTATACAAGGAAGCTGAAAACGAAAATCACAGTGAACAAATATGATGATCGTTGTATTTTATATTCGTGGTCACATTGAAAGATCAAAGAACCCAAAAAGAACATCTTATTCCCTAGCCATCCTCAAAGTAGAACCACAAAGAGAATAAAATGAAAAAAACTAATAAAATTGTGGCAGCTGGGGTTCAAGCCCAGGTCTCTACGGCCACAACGTAAAATTCTTACCACTAAACTACAGGCATAAATTCGTTCAAAATCAGAAATTATTATTAATTTGTAATTGTATATTATTGTGGAAAAGCAAAATGAACTATACACATCCCTGAGGTAGAAAAAACACATGACAAGTACGGAATTTGAACCAACGCCCTTTCGGAGCAGAGCCTAAATCTGGCGCCTTAGACCACTCGGCCAAACTGTCAGCAACTGATGACTGCATAGAAAGAGTAACACATATGCCTTGTTTTATATATGAAATCTTCAGAAACGAAGCCAAGAGTAATGGACCAGCTAGACACCCACATAACAAATTATATCTCTTTGTAACTAGAAATTAAGAATCTACTCAAACAAACTCCAAAGTATTATATCAACAAAGAACAAATTCTACGCAAGTCTTCCACATAAATACAAACACAAACTGTCATCTGAATTCCAATTCACATTATACACATATTACTTTATCAATAATCCAAATATAAATTTGTTCAAGTATGTCTAGAAATTACAAATGAAAGAGAAGAGGTTTCAATCCAGTGACACCTGATCCCAATGGTTCAACAGGCCTGAAATGTTTTAGGTCCATCCTTTCTACACCGTCCAGAACATAACAAATATTCATTAAATATAGGGAAACTATATTTTGTTTATACAACTATGGGATGAAAAACATAGTTGATATAAACATATTCAGTAAAAAAAACTTCTTAGGTCCTCTCAATTTCGAAATTGGGGCAAATTGGTCCATCTCCAAAAACAAGAGTCCAATAATCTCTGTTACTTTTGAAAGTGAGCAATGAAATACAATTAATCACGGCATTAATGTTTTTCATATGAGTCATTCGATGCACTATTGTCCATACCATAATAGACATTTTCCAAAATGATAAGACGTTAATCACTTTCAGCATCAAATTTAGTAGAGAATCTCGGATAGTATGTTTTATAATCTTCAGCCGCAAGAAGAAGACCCAAAATAATAGTAACATTTAAGGACTAGGCTCAAGAAACAGACTAATGCCCAATTCTAACTAATGAAGGAACAAATCGGGGGAACTCACAGTAGCTTCAGAAGCAGTAGAAACAAAGAAGGAAGCCTCTGCATTAAGATCCTGCATCATATCATTTAATGCATCCACTTGAGACTTGCAATGATTTCCCTCTTATCTTAAGAATCTCATAATCCAGCAAGTAAATAACACTCTCCTCAGGTCGACCCTTTTTTCATGGCCAACATGACTGAAAGAAAACTTATCATTTCCATGGCATATGTAACCAAGTAATCTCCAATTAAACCCTTCAAATATCTCAATAAATCACAGTTGAATATTTCCCATTAATAAAATTAAAACAAGTTATCAAGATATGTACATTAATTTGAAAGAAATTTCTTACGAATTGATCAACAACATTGTCGGTGGTAAGCGTGCAAGGAACATTAACATTGACCTTTTATCGAACAATTTGATGACAGCCTGTTAGTACATGTATAAAAATGACTAAGAAGCCCTTATGTAATAAATGACCTGAATAAAACAGTTTAATAAACTAACAAAAGTAATAAACTAATAAACCCTTGCATAATAAGAACAAATAGCAACTAGTGAGAGAGTGACCACACTTTAGTGTGTCTAGCTATGCTAGAGTGTAGTCAGGCTACCTTAGTTGCCATAATGGGAAATTGTCAGTGTTATGATGTCTTAGGGCCTTTATTTATGCATGTATAGTTGCATCAGTCTAGTACAACAAATATCCTTAAAGCTTGGCTTGATGACTGTGTGAGATCAAACCAATACCTTAGTTGAGCAAGAATTGTACTGATGCTATGTGACATCAGGTTCCCTCTCCATGATGTACCTGATTGCTATGTGAGACCATAATATCATTTAAAAATTTAGTGGAAATTTCACTGTTGTTATGTGACATCAGGTTCCCTAAACTAACTAGTTTTAATGGCTACGTGAGACCAGATACTAGTAATGTTGCATTCATATAAAAGAGGCAGTGTTGTATTCAAATAATGTGTAATAGTTATAATCATTAGGGTTAAAGAACCTTTAGAGGTGTACTCATGGCGAGGCCTTTAGCTGAGGATTAAGGGAAACATGAGACTCCTACATCAGCGATAGAATAGTTAAACCCTAAGTAGGTAGCACTTGATTTAGATCATGCATGTAGCTACTGCTTAGTACCATGTCTTTAGCATTCATATGTTTATGGAACTCATAATGTTGCTTTAGATTAGTGATTATACTAATGTATTTGGTTTATCAAACTCTGAGTTTGTATTATTTTGGTTTTGAACTATGTGTCACGGAGCTCCAAATTATAAAAAGTATTTTTATAACTGTCATATATGTCTAATTTGGTATGTTTTGAAATGAAAATGAACTTATTTTTGAAAAACAGGGGTTGTTTCGACAGCACATTGTGGCACTTTAGGCCCAATCGGATTTAGGGTGTTACAGTCTCGACTTGAATTATATAAACTTGACTTAACTAAAAAATTAAATAAAACTTGAGCTATAAAATATGAGTTGTCAACTCAAATAACTCGAAATATTTTACTAAAACGATAACATTATATGTATTTAACATATTTAATGAAGTACTTTATTTATTGGCCAATTTTCATCATAAGACTTTATTTTGCATAATTTGTGATTTTGTCCTAGCACTCTAATTCGATCAATTTTAGTCTATGTACTTTTTAAATTTTAAAAAATTTGTCATGACCTAAGTGGTACAAAGACAATAAGGTAAAATTACAATGGTTTAAAATGATAAAATTTAAGAACATGAACTAAATCCATGACTTAAACATAATAAATGAACCAATAGTAGAATTTAACTTAACATATTTAATATCTATTGTTTGTATCAAGACTGAAATTTTAAATTTTAGAAAGTTCATGAACTAAAAATGGCCAAATTAAAATTCATAATGACTAACATATTCACAATATAATGATAAATCTATAAGTTATTCGTGATACACGGACTGATAGAAGAATTTAACCTAATTTATTTAACCTTGGATCACTATTTCACAGATCCGAATTCCTTAGAAACCACAAACCCTTAATTGTTAGAATATCCAAAGCATATGAGGATTATATATTCACATTTCATAGTTTAATTTGGAGAAGTTTATGGCTTTTCAAATGTTCACATTTCCAAGCTATATTCCATTGACACAACCCGACAATAAATCTGACATTTAAAAGTCAAAATATCATTCACAACACTCGAAACTAATACGACAAAAATAATAAAATGTTCAAATATTTAAAGTTGTTTTTCTCTTACATTACCCACTAATTGTTTTAATTACATTGGTTTTATTAAGGTAATTAGTGATTACTTAATAATGGTTTTGCTTAAACAGCCCATTGTTTTGGAACAAAACCAGACCTACTAGCAGACAAGCAATCTAACACTGAATGGGATTTTAATTAATTAATTGAATAAAAGGAGCATTAAACTAGGAAGAAAGACCCCATTGATTAATCAATTGATTAATAATTAACTTACTAATTAAGTTCTTCAAAGGTCGGCTAATAACTTTTAAATCCTACTATCTTCCAAATTAATCAACAACTTAATATTATGAATCACGTTTAAAGCCGACCCATGTGCTTCCATCATTAATCTTAATCACAATTACTTTAGCTTACTTTTCTTGACAATACTATATTGGAAGAAAATAGAAGAATAGTATATTTTAATTTTGGCGTAATGAAAAAATTGTCCCTAATATTTGTTCAAATGATCACTTTGATCCACATTCATTTTTTTGAGTATTTTAATCCTAATATTTCAATTTTTGATTCAAATAACTTTCGTTAAATGAAAATTATTAATTAACTAATGATCAACATATATTGTTGATGTAATTTTTTTTGCACGTGTATAATTGGTGACGTAATATATATCACATAGTGATTCCAAATATTTTATTTTTTCCTGTGTTAACTGATGCATAGTGATTTCGGGTACATAACATTTTATCTATAATACCTAATGCATAGTGATTTCAGGTATCCTATTCTTATATTATATATAATACCTAATGCATAATGATTCTAGGTACCATAACATGTTGTATATAACACATGATGCCTAGTAATTCCAGGTATTTTATTATTATTATTATTATTATTATTATTATTATTATTATTATTACCCAATGCGATGGTAGTTCTAGGTAATCTACAACTATTTTTAAGGATACATACATAGGTTCTATACCTACTAAGTAAATGTGTTATTGATGGTACCGCGGGTATTAGTATAATATTGATTAATATTATGATGACTAATACTTGAAATAAGGA